ATAGCAACTCTATAGGACAGAGTAGAACTGACTCACTGACGGGAGACTAACTTTTTATGTGACTAGAAAGACTTGCCTTTCTCCCAAAGAGTATCTGGGATTTTGAATTGCGTACCTTGCAGTTAGTAGCCCAACTCAAAACCCTCTATGCCACTAGGGCTGCTCTAATACATGTAAAAAACTCAGAAAAATAGCTTACACAAAATTATCATTATATATGTCCAGTATGAATTGACAAAAATGATTAATGTGAAAAATTTACTCACAGTTCATGAACTCCTATAACAGCAATAAGAATGTACACTCCATTGAAAGATGATTATTAAAAATTACTTAGATAACTGTTATTGCAAAGCTTACACTGATGGCTGATCACACAGAGATACCCTGTGGATAAATCAATCATGACCTTCCCACCTAAAGATACATCAAAGAGTGAAGACGGTCATTGGAGACGGGAGACATCTTCTCCCAACAGAGTGCAATGTGAGTTATTGGATTCCAAGGGTAAAGGAAGTAATTAAATGCTATTTACAAGGGAAGAGCAAGATGTAAAAGGAACCAAAGGCTGTTTTTCTTTATTCCTCTTTCTTTAGTATGCCCAGAATCACAGTCATAAACAAACAGAATATTAAACATAATCACCTTCCTGGTCTGATGAATGGGATGTGAATTAATTCTCATGGCCAATTTTCTTTAACTTTATACCCAAGAGTATTTTCCAATGGATCTCTAAGGTGAGCAGGTGAAGTCATGGCTCTGTCCTAGGAAATTTGACTAAGAAACATTTGGTAATTGGGACTTGTGTTATTTATTGCCCATGATTCTGAAATTAAGAAACTAATGTAGTATGGCAAAAAACAAATGAAGGAATAATTTTTGATGGAATTCATCAAGATAGAAATTCCCACAACTTCTTCATATCACAGATATGGAAAAGCATGCTGCTTATTTTTACAACAATTATCTGCACCCAGAAGACCCTCTCCCTCAGGACTTATCTGCCTGGAAAGCACACTCATAAAAAGGCAGGCAGAATTTCAGCATGGAGAAAGGAAGATTTTGAAGATGAAAAACGTATGTCACAATCCCAATATAAATCCTCTTGTCAAGAATTTTTCTGTTGTCAATCCCTTGGAGTTAACAC